ACAAATTTTTCAAGATTCTAATTTCACCAAGATACAATTGCCAAGCATCTCTAGCCACTGTTGTTCTTAAAGGGATTTAAAATCGTGGTTCTAACTCTTTCACAAACTTTTTAAAGCCTTCCTTCTCAACAAGCCTAAATGGCATCTTATCACATATGATGAACTCAACTAGAGCCCTGCGATATCGTTTCTGATTGAACATGTGAGGTACTAAGCTTCCCTCTTGCCCACTTGGTATCACATAATTCAACATAGATTGCTTTGTCATTTGTGTAGCTTTATATGAATTCTTAGGACACTTTAGTACATACCTCTTTAAGGATGTTAAACCATTCTTGCCTAGGTCATAAGCATAACCTAAATTATAGTACTTGCATGCAGCTCTAACTTCTCCATTTGTCTCCACCAATGGTAACTTAGTAAAGTGTTCCCAGACTTTTGATACCTCTTGCAGAATTTTTTCTCTTTCTACTACCTTCTGTAGCTTCATTTTCAGTTACAGTTGTAAGAGGAGGAGGACATTCCATAGTAGTTGGGGGTTGAGGAGGAGGAGTAGGTGTCAAAGATGGTCCAGAAGGAGTTGAACTCATATTTTCACCAGTAAAAGAAGATGATTGAGGTTGGTCAATGCTGGTTGTTTGCTCAATATCCATCACTTCATAATGATAAAATATAATTCAGAGCATATAATTGACCAGTTATAACAGCATAGTGATAAAAAGGAAGCAAAATAAACAATTTATAACAGCACAAAATCATGGCAGGGAACACAAAAGCTAGAAAATGAGAGCATATAATTGATAAGGTGATTACTAATAAAAATTAGCCTACAGAAATGTCCTTTGAACATATTAACATAGACATAGGGAAAAATTGTGTAACAAATTTCAATCCATATTAAGGATCATTCAAAGTGATCACGCAAAGTCATGGGAAAAAAACACATCCACATCCACTTCAATCGCGTAGAGTGATCAAGGAGAGTCAGGGGAAACTTCTACAACTACTTTTCAACTGAAACCTTTATATTTGGTCACATTTTTTCTAATGCTTGATCGCAAGAAATTTCATTCTGAGTTGATTTTTGAACTATAAGGCTACAAGTGTAAAACGAACAGGGGTGGGGCAATAGGTAACAAGACATACCTTTACAAGAAACCTCTAAGAAGATGAGAGCAGGGGTGGGGCAATGGGTAACAATACATACCTGGTGAGTAAAGACTGTGTGCTCGAAGGTACGAGAATGGCAGTGAATCAAAGGTTAGGGGTGATGGGGACCAGGGGTGGAGCGATGGTGTGATGTGCTCGATGATGAATCAGATGCGGGAGGCGATGATAAATGTGACCGACGGTGGTGGCACACTGGCGAAGTAGCAATGAACTAAAGCTCACCAATGTGATTAACTGCAAGATAATGGCTCAAGCGAGAATGGAGACTGGAGAGCAACGAATCTAAGGTTAGGGTTGATGGAGACTGGGGAGCAAGGGACTAAGGCCTGGAGGTCACTGACACGAATGGAGAGCAATGAACCAGAGCTCACTGATGTGATTGACAACTGCGAACTGGAGGAGGCAAGGGCTAGGGTTTTGGCGCACTGGAGAAAGAGAAACTAAGAAGTGAGAATGACCGCCTATAGCTTGCTTGAGCCTTAAGTGCGTGGCGTGCACCATGCAGTGTGTTGGTGCTGTGTCTTGTGTAAGACTGACTTTAATTAATGATTTATAAATTAATTTTAATTATATTAAATTAATTATATAAGACTGAACCAAACCACTTAGTCCAAATGCTTGGTCTTTAGTCTGATTTTACCTGAAAAATCAATCCTGTCTTTTGAGTCTTTTTAGTCCTACAGGACCAATATTTTATAAGATTGGACTGGACTGGGTTTTCACAGGCCGGACCGGGTCAGACCAGACTACGAGACTTTTGCATGGCCCTAGGAGGGACGGTGGATGTAACACCCTAAATCTGGATGTTACAGCGGACATTATAGTGGCGTTGTTTTAAAATATTTCCGATAATTCTCTTTTGCAATCAAACCGGTGTAAAGGATGTTGAGGTTGCTGGGTATCATATAGAGAAAAGAAAACGACAGAGTTTAAGGTGAATTTGTAGGCAATGAGGGTAGGCTACGAGATACGCATGATAATTTGTGTACGTGGTCCAAGTGAAACAGGTGTGAAATGGGTGTTCGATTTCTGTTTTCTAAATTGGCCTTTCAACAAACGAAAAAAGATTTCTGTTTTCTAAGAAACTGTTTTTCCTTTTTTTAAAAAAATAAAATAAAAATAAAAAATATTGTTTAGAAAAATGTTTTTGATTTAAATTTTTTTAAATTTATTTTTATCTTTTGTTTTTAAAATCAAAAAATAAAACGTTTTAGAGTCATTTTTTTTTGTTTTCTCTATTTTTTAAAGACATACATTTTACCAATGAGCGTTAGATTTAGCGAAAGGGACTAAGCTCATTATAATATGATAAATTAAAGTTTAACTTTTTATTAGGAGAAACACTCATATTTACTGTTCAATCATACTTGGATAGAATTTTTTTTTTTCAATAGGAGGATACAATCACACAAACAATAACACTATATTCGACTATAAAAAAAATATTATTGAGATAAAATCAGACACTAAATATAAATACACCTCCTGATATAAATTTAAACATTAGTCTGTTATGTTGTAAAGGAATAATTCCTTCTATTAAGGGAAAATGATGTTAAAGTCTCACACAAGGGAATTAATTACTGCAAGTCTCACACAAGGAGAATGATGTCAATACAGTTTAGTCCAGTTGTCAATAGACCCTGTAGTAATTAATTCCCTTATATAGGACATAACTGTAATTCTCTCTTCTATTAAATCAAACCATCATCGGTATAAGCTACCACTATTAATTACTAGCAAACACTACTATTGGTCAACTTTTTAACTCCAGTTTTTAAAATTAACATAATCAAAAATAATTTTTATTTAGTGGTAATCTCATAAAGTAGTTTTTAAATAAAAATATAATGAAATCAAACAAACCTTAAATAATTTCATTTTTTATTTAGTGATAATCTCGCCAACTTAAATATCCTCAACAGCTTCAGAAAATTCAGATGAGGAGGGAGGGCCACGTTGAACGTTTAGGGTTTAAGATCTCTCGTTGAGTTTCTATATTTCGAAAAAAATCTGAAGGTGGCTTATTAAAAATCTGAATCTACACGTCACTTAATGAAACGTTAATTGGTGGATTATTAATTATTATCTTTTGGTCTCAAAGTAATATTTTTAAATAAAATTATATTTATTAATAAATCTCATTAAATATATTTTACAACCTTATTTTTTCAAAAAAAAGAAAAACTTTAAAAAATGCCCTTTATTAATACTTTATTTGTTAAATAAATTAAGGAGAGGAAATATATGAGAAGGGTAATATTAAAAAACTATTATTAGTAATTATTTTTTTCAAAGTATCTTATGTTTTATAATATCAATTTTTTTTTAAAATAACTAAATTAACATAATAAAATTACTTATATTCATATAAAATTATCACAATAACAAGTAATTATAAATTCATCTTAATCTCCAACAACAACAAACATATTTCAATTACAATACATAAGATTTAAAGTAAATAACATTTAACATGTCTAAAATTCATTACACTAAGTTACAATAAATTTCATCAATAAAAGGAGAAGAATAAAGTTATTCAATGCTAAAATTTTGCTCAATATTAATGACTTCACAAATATAAAACACAAAAAATTACTAATTATTATTATAAATTAACTTATTATTATAATAATTAATAAAATAATTATAATTATATTAAATAAATTTATATGACTAGATCAAACTAAGTGGTCTAGATGTTCAATCTCTTATTCAATTTAGCCTAAAAAACGAGTATGATCTTTTTGTTTTAAAAGACTAATTTTTATTTGGATTAGATTGAAAAAAGACTTTTGCACAACCTACTTATTTTATACCCAAACGACCCTTATGATACTGACCATTCCAACGAAATGAAGCGGAAAAAATTGCGTCCATCTTTTCCCATTTCAATCACGGCAAACTCTGGCAAATAATTGCGTGATAAAGAGAGAAGTTATTCATTCGATTCCTTTAGAAGAAAAATTAAACATTCAGTTCTATAATTTTATTTAAAACTTTGTTTCTAAACTTTATATTTAGTATAACTTAGTCCCAATAATTATAATTATCCACCAATTCCACTGTTATTTTTTTTTAATATACTTTCATGAAGTGCTTTGGGAAAATTTCTTGGATAATAAAACTTTTAGTGCTGTAAATTTATTTCAACTATTGATTTGATTTTGCAAGTTTAATTTTCATTGATTTATCCCCTCATGTTTTCTTAAATTATTTGACAACTTGACATGGATATATAACTAGATGTTAGCCCTTACAAGCATTTTTTGAAATTTAATAACTAAAATTTTAAAAGGTAAAATTATAAAGATTAAATTTCAAACAGATTGAAATTATAAAAATTGAGTTAGACCAAATTAAAAGTTAAGAACTGAACTACAAGTTTTTTTTTTTTTTTTTGGGCCAGAAACTGAGCTCAAACTTTTGGAACTAAATGATCAATACGCCTAATTATGTTTGTTTTCAGTTTACAAATAACAAGAGGCTATTGTTCAGCTTTAATACACAGGAAACTCAGGAAAATTTTAAAATTTGCTTATAGACAGTGATATAAAAAACTAAGTTAGAAACACACAAATTTGCATATAGACAGTGATATAAAAAACTAAGTTACAACACACAATCTCTATCAACATGCGCAAAAAGAAAGTAATAATATTCATGACCTCATCTTAGTTCCCATACAAACATCAATAGCCCATTCTAATTGGAATCAAATTTATCAAGTTATTCAATCAATCATATTTAATGTTGGTTAACTTTAATTTATCAAGTTTAAGAACATTATTAAGAAAGGGACAAGGTGAACGATTCAAATATATGAATTTAAAGTAGATAATGACGCCTGAATATTAAGATAACGCAAAATATCAATAAAGATTCATGAAGATGAACTGATAAAATAATAACAGCTCGAGACCAGAACCATAAACATCAGGCACCATTACTTCACTAAACTGGTAGATTTTACATCACCTCCTGTAAACACCTAGTAAGAACCATTCTAAAACTCGATTCTCTATCCCTCCTTAAGCCGCCCTAATCTCCTATTTGACACATCTATCATACACTTACATTCGAATTCCTACTCAGATGGTTAAGAACAGTTTAAAAATGCTTTAACCTTTCTAAGCTCACTTGGATATATCAGCGCAGAATCTAAACACAGACCACCTTTGGTGTGGGTGCAATCAATCTGAGTCATAGAGAACTTAACTCTTGTCGATGCATTCCCATTCTTAACCACAAAATCGCCTGCATGGTAAAAAACCCATTTCCCAGGCTCTTTCAGGAAACACTGAGATGAACCGTACTGTCCATATGAAGTCCATAGCTGGAATCGTACAGGCTTTATGTCCCAGCCATGAACATGCTCAGTGTTGCAAACTGTTCGGCCAAGTCGCTTCGAGGCTCGTCCCAAATGTAGTCTGAAGAATAGGCTGTATGTTCCTGCTGGAAATGGAAACTCTACCTCACCATCAACTTCAAACCACCAGATTTGCCGAAGATATGCAACAGTGTGGAACCTGCATACGATGGAAATAACGCAGGTTTGATTCCAATGCACAAATATACTAGACTTGATATTTTAAAAAAATAAAATAAAATAAACTCAATGAATATAAGGTTCAAGACTTGCTTCATCAATTAGAGTAACAAAGGAAGGTTCATTCAACAGCTTATGAGTTTCAATGTTCATCTATCTACATCTACATGTATTTCTTCGCATGAGTATGTCATCATTTGTATGTGCATAACATAATAAGACTATTGGCTTGCTATGTTTTAATCGAATCAAAGAATTGCAGGCATTTCCTTTTGCAATACCACATGCTTATACAAGTGGAAATGGATTGACAAGAAAACTTGCTGTCACTTTACTAATAAGCCCCTTCTAACTTCCTGAACAAAACAATTTTCTTGAAATGTATCAGTGTACTAGACTCCTCATGACTGAAAGGAGTGGCTCATCTGGATGGCCGTGTTTGAAAGACCATAAAGAGATTTATAATGCACAACGAACGCAATACAAATTCAGTCCAAGAGTTACAGACCATATAGTAACAACTGTTGAGAAAATCCAGAATTCAGTAAAGCCCAAGCTCTCAAAATACATAAGGATCCAGCGTCTTAAGGGATAAATAATAGAAGAACCATCAATATATCATCATAAAAAAGAGCCACACTATTCATAAGTCATTAACAGCATAGCTCCTTGCAGACTCTTTTCAATTTCTTTATTCTTTCAATCTAGAACTACACATAGGATTGAAAATTTAAATACTAAAAAGAAGATACAATCTTTCGAGTTACTTTTAAATTACTAGGAAAAGATGTCGAGGTGTTAATGAAAAGGATCAGCAAGTGCAAACTCATCAACAGACCAAAAAATTGCAATAGATTTAGTATCCTTGTGTAGCGGCATATACATTCACTATTGATACTAAAAGAAGAGAATCATGGAATTACTACATAAGATAACGACATACACTACACTGGCGAGTTTCCAGGGAAGCTCCATAATACTTGAAATTTCAAAAGCAATCTAAAAAGTACTCCGACGTGATAAGAAATAGAATTGTTCCCGTAGCTACAAAAATTTTATAATACCTAAGATAACGACAGCTGAAGAATCTCACCGAAGTCTTCAGTCGGGATATGATTCCAATATCTTCGATCATCAATCCCTGTTATTGAAAGTCCCTTAGATGATATGGACAAACAAAGCTTACCGGTGCTTCTATCCAGCCATACTTTCTGCAAAATTCCACACATTCAAACTCGTCAGGGGGAAAAGCGATTCTAGAACTAAATTTTTGTTTAAAAAAAAAAAATCAATTCCTTTCACAACAGAAAAATAAGGATGGGACTGTACTATTCTGAGGGTGACAATCATATGATAACCGTAAAAAGAAAATAAAAAAAAAATCTGAAGTTGCACATCGGATAAAAAACACTAAATAGATGAAAGAAGGAAGAATCAGAGAAGCCAACCCCCTGTCCTAAAATCAAGAAATTTCAACAAATATTTCCAATTATCAATCCTTCAACCTGACACAAATTTTCGTCACAAAACGCAATAAAAACCCAAACCAACCGTAAAAGGGATGGAGAATTTTCGTCAGGATTAGAGACTTCTTCATTGTTTTAGGAGGAAAAATCAATATAATAAGAAACAGGAATTGTCTAAAAGGCTCGATTCAGCAAATCTCCAATATAAATTCTTTCTTCAAAATGTCTCGGAACCAACTGAATAGCGAATCGATCATTTACCTTAGAGCCTCCATCAAGAGTATTCTTTCGGCACAACCGAGCGTAAATCCCTCTCTTGCCGCCCGAATCGCTCTGAAAATCATCGAAATTTTTCTTAACAAGAAGATCACAATTGGGAGGCAACTTCGATTGCCACACAAAATCGGCCCAGGACGCCCCACGGAAAGTCCGATTCAACCTAGCCAATTCACAAATCTGCGGGGGATTCATATATTCGAGAATCAAAGCCACGCAGCTCTCAGGCAAATCACCCAAAGAGGTTTCGAGGGCACAATCGGAGATCCATTCAGGTCCGGAAGCAAGGAGGAAAAGCTGATTCCCATCATCAAGCGAGGAAACACAGAGAAGGAGGAGAGAACACTAGAAGGTTCGAAGATTCCAAGCAAATAAGCTTTCATACAAATCAAAATAAAACGAAAGAGAAAGAGAAAGAATGAAGAGAAGAAAAAGTGGAGGCAAGCGTTCAGATGTAGGTGGCATCCATTTGTTTGTTTCCAAGGAAAGCGAATTCGACAGTGGATATTGACTTGGACGGAAAGCATACGACGCCGTGGGCAGGCATGGACGCCTATTATTCATGAGGTGGAGGAAGATGCTTACGCGTGTATATTTATATAGGCGTGCTTTTTTTTTTTTTTAAATTGTGTTTACATAAAATATTTGAGATATTTTTTATTATATTTAGATTGGACTAGATTTGTTTTATAAAATTTAAATTAAATAATTTTTATCTGAAAATGGTTTACTAAAAACTAAACTGATCAACTACTGGGAAAAACGTAGTTAAATTATGATCAATTTGATCATAAATAAAATATTTTATTAATTTTATTAAAATATTAATTTAACAGTTTATTAAATCAGATGAGTAAATTGATTCCAATCACTATACAAAATTTACATAAAAATATGGAAATATAAATGGGAATAGGAGTTGAGTGAGTTGGATGGCCCAAAATAAACAGTCAGTTGAACATTGATATCTGTTTTTTGGCATGTCATCATTATTAATTAATCAATAATAATTAATTAGTAAGTGTGTTTATGTATTCCAGTTGGATTTGGATAATGACTATGAACCCCTAAAGTACGTGTATCCATAATTCATTTTAGGAGAAATACTTACATAAATTAAATGCACCATATTATTTGTGATTTGTTCAATAAAAATATAACATTTAAATAATATTAAATATAAATTAATTTGCTATTAATAATAGTAGAGAAGAAAAATGCAAGAAATCAAACGTATGATCAATTTAAAAAATATCACACAATATTTTATTTAGATTACTTAAATATTTTAATTCAATAAATTATAAATGATGTGGTGCACCTCATCTGCCTACATATTTCTCTTCATTTCATGCATCCTTGGTTCATAGTTTCATTGCCAAATGGTTGCACTCGGTTGGTGAAAGTTGTTATTTTAAAATTTAAAATTTCTTATATAGACTTAAAAAATTATTAAACAATTTATATTGTATTATAATTTAATAATGTTTACTAAATTATCATTGACTTAAATATTCTCCTGAAGGTTAAAATAATATGAAATATGAAGTACATTATTGGAATGCAACAATAATTTTAGATAAAATAATAAAAAGCTCAAAAAACAATTTTTTATTAACAAAAGGAAGGATACTACTCTCACTATTCATTACTTTCTTTGTTCTTATCTGTAAGACAAAAGAAAATAATATTTTT